ATTTTATTCTGTTTTATCAATAGTATAAACTTTTTAACAAAAACGCTTCAAAGTATGCATATATCCAATTTAAATCATTTTAATAAAAAGAAATAAACATATAACGCTTAAATGATAGATTAGGCCTATATGTAGGCCTATAAATACGTATAATTTCCTTTCATGTGACTCAAGGGAGGTTTTTAAACGTTAACAGCTCTATAGTACGGTACGGTACGACCGTTTAATTGACAAGGCAAACTTATATGTAACCAGTGTCTGCAAAATCACCTAGGCCTATCTATAAAAAAAGATATTCTAATTTTCCATATTTTTTATTTATTAATTTATTTATTTATTCTGTTTTATTTTAAGATAGAGATACATGTCTTAGTGTACAACAAATTATAAAGTAATTAGATACAATACTATTGGCTGAATATAGGTAAGTCTCTCTCTAATTAAAGACCCTTTCAATTAAACACAATTTTTCTGTGGTCCCAAATTTAAAAATGCCTATTCTCTTTATCATTCTAATTATAGACCAAAGCGCTAAAGACCATGGAACCCCCACCCCCACACACCCTCCCCGCCACAAAAGTGGTTTTTAATTGGAGGGAGATCCTAGGTTATTATTAGGCCACTGATAAAAATACATTTCTCGTCCTGCCTTTGAATCTCCCATACACAGAATAGAAGGCTTATATACTTATATAGGCCTTTGCTAAAACCTAGGGTATAGGCCTACTTAATGCTTAAGAGAACATTTGGATGTAGGATTTTCTGAATCATTGTTTGAGAAAGTTAATATAATAATATTCAATAATTTGATAAGCCTAAATAGTTGACTTATTTATTAACTATTTAATTAATTATGGATTACTTAGAATGCAAAAAATAAAGTTATGAGAGTCGAAGCGACAAGAAACGAGATGGAGACAGCAACAGTAACCGTTCCAGTGTTCCTTACAGTGTATTCCGCTGTGTTGCAGGCCAGGAAATCGACACCAAATAAGCGAGGAAAGCCCACCGAGTCGGCCTCCTGTCGCAAATTATTGTATCGATAGTATTTCTTTCCTTTCAAAAAGTATGTATTACCTGATGACAAAAAGAGAGAATATAACATTATTATAAATAGGCCTAATCGTAATAAGATACTACAGTCACAACATTTTCAGAGGTTTGAACATAAAATACAGCGTCTTTTTCTGGGTAGTTCACTTTCCTATACAGATATTTAGTAAATACTCTTTAAGAATAGGTTATATAATTGCATAGGCCTCCATTCAAAATTATATGCTTATTGAAGTCGAAAATTGTTCCTTACCGTTTTTATATCTGAAGGCCGCTGATAAGTCACTAGGAATTCCCTTAAAAACCTCAGAGATAGGGAGTGGGTACCCAGGGTCTATTTCTCGCCTGTTTTCGTCGTAGCGCCATACCAAATCATCCTTAAAGAAGTACGTTTTATAATATTCCCCGAACGTGAAGACCGCATCAATGTTGTTGGGGAGTGACTTAGTAGAAGAAGGGACAGTGAATTCCGATATCGGTAATGGTCCTTGCATCAGGTGGTTCCCATTGAACAGATAGTAATTTTCACCTGAATTTAAAGGAACAATAATCGTTAAAATCAAAGAAAGCATAGGCCTACTAATGAAAGTATTAAAAACAAATATTTTTCTGATAAATTTATCTTATACTTACTTGTGGTTACATTCTTATAATCTTACTTCAAAGTTTCATTAAAAAGACGATGTTTATATTTGGTCATAACTAGCAAATAATAATAATAATAATAATAATAATAATAATAATATTAATAATAATAATAATAATAATAATAATAATAATAATACAAAAATATGATAATGATGGTAATAGTAGTAATGATTGTGATAATGATAATAATGATGGTGCTGATGATGATGATGATTATGATGATGACAATAACATGAACAGTAAAATGTCACAATAACAAAAACAATAATAATAATTATAATAATAATATTAATAATAATAAAAATACAAAAATATGATAATGATGGTAATAGTAGTAATGATTGTGATAATGATAAATGATGGTGCTGATGATGATGATGATGATGATGATGATGATGATGATGATGATGATGATGATGACAATAACATGAACAGTAAAACGTCACAATAACAAAAACAACAACAATAATAATAATAATATTAATAATAATAATAATAATAATATTAAGTACTCCACCGCGCACGGTAGGTTTGTCTATTTATCTGTTCTCCACAAGATACTGTACTTTTGTTTTCTGCTTACTGAGTTTATAGCGGGCGTACTTCTACCGCGCTGCGCAGCGCTGCACTGGGTAATAAAAAGAATATACAACCGTTAGTGGGC